CTCAGGTCCCTTCCGACCCTAGAGACTATGAAACTATACCTGAAGCTGCATGAACATTCCCCTTATGCCCTGAACACTATACTGTAGCAGACAGACAGGTACAAGGGGAGAAACAGGATGTCTTTTAGGGAATGAAAACTGACAAGAACTGAAGATAACACAGTTTACTGTGAACATGGCTAGAAGCATAAATTTTGCTGTAATTGTAATTTTTCTGGTCTTTGAAACCTGATTAAATTTTGAACATTTTTCATGAAACTTGGAACAAATTCATTCTCCTTCAAATTAGTTAGTGCTGGTATAATTTCTTAAGGTGAATGTTGAGTTGGATGTATTGATATTTTTCAAAAGTAAAAATTAGATTTACAGATATTTGTTTTCCTTTTTCTTATCTTTCAGATCCAAGAGATAACATTCTTGATTAATAATTATTGCTTGACAGAACTCTACCTTAACAATAATGACTTGAGAGATATAGCAGGTATCATCATAAATTATAAATTCCTGAGCAAAGGTTTGAAGTTTTTTTTCCATGCATTAGAATGCAGAATGAGTTTGATTTACGTGTTCTGCACTCTTTGACTCGCTAATAGTAGCTGAAAATAAGCACCCTCAACTCGTAACAGCATGTACGTGTTTTAGGAACTTGACCTATTATTGTAAGCTTGAGTGGTTGTATAGCAATATTTGGGATGAAGTTCAAGCCTGGTTCACTTCTACTGCATCTGCTTATATCATGGCTGAACTTGGCTTCAGAACTGTTGTTTATTAATTGGCTATTTCAAAATGTATACAGTAAGTGAACTATAACCAAGATCGCCTTTATATGTTAAAAGTGAACTGAAAATATATTAGTTTTTTTTTTTTTTAAGGCTGTTTTGAAGCACTAGTGAATTGATTGTCAAGAATGATGGGGTGGGATGGAGTGCTGCCACCCCACACCACCACCGCCTCCCAGTGGGAGGTGGGGAAGCTTTCACTGCCTTCCCCTCCGTCCCCGTCCTCCAGCGCCCTGCACTGCTGCCAACTCTAGTGCTACTGGCCTTGCCCCTCCCTAGCCCTGCTCCTCAGAGGCAGTGGAGCGCTGCTATGGCAGGGATGGAGCAGGGGGGCAGGGTGAGCCCAGCGACGCTGGCCTCACCCCTCTGCTCCATCCCCTCTGTCTCCACCATCATGGCAGTGCTCCACATTCTGATTGGTTATTCCACTTACCAATCAGAGTGCTCCGAGAGCATTATGGGCAGACAGACAGATGGACTAAGCCCTTCATTATATAAGAATTCTGATGGAGGAAATCATACCTCCTTTAGAACAGTACCTTTTTATCTAGTGTGACAAATTCTTTCCTTCAAAACGAACATACAAAATCAATAATTTGAAGTCCCTGTGGAGGACTGGCACACCGTAATTCAATTAAGACTGCCCTTTGGGTACTGTATATATGTATGTGATGATAAACTGATACCAGTGCTGACCAACATGCCATGAAAATAAAGGATATTAAATTTAAAAAATGTTTCTTTCATTATGCATTCACAAAGATTCTGCAGTGTCTTTACCAGACATTTAAAACACAGTTATATTCTGTGAAGTAACTCTGCAAAACTGGTGTCTTATGAAATTTCATCTTTGTTTCTTTAAAATTGCCATTTTACTCTTGCTTGTTTTTACATATTAACAAGGAACAAAGAATCTGTCCACGCTTTACAAAAAATTTTAACACTATCTTTTTATATATGCGGGACCAAGGTACCAAGATGGGATGGAAAAGGAAATTAAAATATGCTAGTTAGTGTCTGTGAGATGCATGGCGAACATATGACTCTTTAAGAGGCAATTGGGAAGATAAGAGACAATACAGACTGTACCAAGATATCGGAAGAGGAAGCAGTAACACTGGCATCACTGACTAAAATATTTGGATGAGAATAGCATAGAAATTAGAGAGGGAAAACAAAGTTTAAATTTAACATGGTAGGCAAGTGAGAATTACTTAAGAGGTTAAAGAAAGGAGTGACAGATTCAGCAAGAGAATATCTTGCATTTGACTTTGAGTTAGAACTGATGATCTAAAGTGGATAGCATTGAACTGAAGCTTGTGGGACAGAAAAGTGAAGCAGAGGTAAAGGATGGGGAAGAGGGATCATCTAACATTAGCTTTGTATGAGACAAAGTAAAAAAGAGCAAAGGAGACAATGCATGTGGAAGCAGATTTGCTGAGGGAAGGATGAGGGAGAGAAATCGGTAAACGGGGACAGGAAAGCAAGAGATAAATGCAGGTGATGTGAGTAGAAAGGAAGAGATAGCAGAGGAAAGAAAACCAAGGCAATCAGATGTGACATAAGCTTGTTATGGAAAGAATCCTTTGTTGTTAATTCTCTTTCAGGTGCTCTGAAACACTTGAATTCATTACAAGTCCTGCTGCTTCACAACAACCAGTTGAAGCACCTTGACAAAACAGTGAAGGAACTGACAGGAATGATAAGTCTGCAAACCCTAAGTAATGCTTTACTTTTTATTATGCAGTGCAACAATCAATAACACGGGCAGAAAGTATGCTTCTTTTTGTGAGTTGGAATGAATCATTCAGACTTTGAAGGTTTTTTTTCCTTTTCTTCTCCATACTGAATGGATTCTTATATCCAAGAACTATATTTTTCTTTAAATTAAGCATACCAATATCTGTTTTAACTAGCGTAGGTATTTTGATATACTGTGTGGAGTAAGTGGTAAATGAAAGTAGCTTAGATTGAAATTTCAAATTAAGATAAACAAGACAGTGCTGGCGCCACTACGTTTCACTGTATGAAGTAGCCTCAAGGGAAGTAGGATTATATGCTATTAACCTATTGAAAGTGAAAGTATAAGCAATCTTTCCCTGTCTTTCCTTAAGGAATGTGCTCATAGATCATACCAAGCTCTCAGAACTTTAAGAAACAGGAAACTAATTTTATGTCTTGGTAACATAATTAATGGAGGTGTATAATATCATCAAGCCCTAGCTTATAAATTCAAAAAGCTGCATGTCTGATGGCAAGAAATAAAAATATGGCTTGAAAAGTACACTTTTAATTGAAGCTGAAGCTGAGCCAAGAATTTGACACAAGTCAACTGTTACAAAGACAACATGCCAATCAAATTATTTATAAGTTATTTCATAATGTATAAGGTTTAAAAATAGATCATCTGAAAATGCACTTGTTTGAAATGATTAGACAAAAGTTTGGACAGACATCCTCCTTCTGAATGGTGCTGTCACATGGATTTAAGGTTACAGCCAAAGCAATTAACAGGGAGCTTCAACAAGCACAGGCAGTTTGCTTCACAGTACTCTTGCTGTGGGAGCAAAGAGAAATAGCAGAAAATCAAAGGAGTGCTGAGTTGCTGTGTACGTCAGTCACAATGACATAGGGATAATGCAGTTAACACCTGTTCATCCAGATGAGTATTTAGGAAAACTAAGAATAAAACAGAAAAGACAGACTGCATTTGGTCTGATGTGACATTTTCTTTTTGCTCATGAATAAAGGAATGAAGTCTAATCCACAGGGAAGAATAAGATAGCACTATAGTAGACTCTTACTAGATTTTATCCATAAAATTGCCAATCTCCACCTTTCAGACAAGGTTACATATGAAGGTGATAACCAGGGTTCCTGGTTTTCTCTGTTTAAAAATCCCAAATTCTCTGATTTTTAAAAAACACCTCCCAAAATCTGCCTTTTTCTGTGATTAAAATGAAGCTCCACTAATATATATAGGTATCAGATGAACACAATGCTTTATTGATGTATTTACAGTGTAAACGGGTGTAGGCCGTAGCTGTGTTGGTCTAAGGACATAGGCAGACAAGTTTCTTTGGGTGAATCTGACATCTTTTATTAGACCAACTTAAATCGTTGGGGGAAAAAATTGGCAAGCTTTCAGGTTTAAAAACCCTTCATCAGGCTGAGGAAGTCTCTGCAGTTGGTGTGCGCTCTTCCTGGATGGAATGAATAGTAAAGATTCTGACTTCTTTACTATTCATTCCATCCAGGAAGAGCACACACCAACTGCAGAGACTTCCTCAGCCTGATGAAGGGGTTTTAAACCTGAAAGCTTGCCAAAATTTTTTTTCCAACTATTTAAATTAGTCTAATAAAAGATGTCAGATTCACCCAAAGAACCTCGTCTTTCTTTACAGTTTCCAAGTACTTTGGAAGGTTACCAGTGCCTCAATTCTTATAATAAAGTAAATCCTAAATACCTATATATATTGGCATTTGATTTTGGTTTTTTATCATAGAAAATCAGAGCTCCCTCTGCCCCCTTTGTTCACCAGGATGCAGGTCCAGCTGGGGCTGTCCCCCCGCTGCTTTGTGGCACCAAGCAGCCCTGATATGCTGGTGCCCCTCACTCCCACTCACAGCCCCCTGCAGCCCTGCCAGTGCCCCTCACTCCTGACCCACAGCCCCATGGATCTTGCCAGTGCTCCTGAGTCCCAACCCACAGCCCTCTGGTCCTGCTGGTGCCATTCACTCCCAACCCGCAGTCTGCCACCTCCTCAGCCCTACTGGTACCTTTTCACTCCCAACTTGCAGCCCCCTGGGCCCTGCCAGAGCCCTTTACTCCTAACGTGCCACCCCCTAGCCCTGTTGGTGCCCCTCACTCATGACCTGCAACCCCTTGCCCCTGCCAGCCCTGCTGGAGGCTACAGTGCCCACAGCCCCCTGCCCTCCCTCAGCAGCACCCGATTCCTAGCTGCCACCTGTGGGAGGTGGCAGCTGCTGTGGCTGGAGTGGAGCCTAGAGCATAGCTGTCCCTCCCCCACAAGTGGCACAGCTGGAGTGGAGCCTGTTGTGGGCAGGGGCTCAGGGCTTCCCACCCTTCTGCCCTCACCTCTTGGACCTCCATAGGTCCAAGAGTAGGACCTGGTGCAGCAGGGCGGGGAGGCCCGGTGCTGCTGCCAGGAGCTCCATGCCAGCTGCACTTGCATGGCAAGGCACCCCCTACCTACCTGGCCGCAACAGCGGCAGTGTGGAGTTGTGCCCCCCATTGCTACTGGGTGGGTGGTGGGTGCCTTACTGTTGCAGCTTGGCCAGCATGGGGCTCCCAGTGGCAGCACCAAGCCACCCTGCCCTGCCACTCCAGGTGCTACCCACTGGGCTGTGGAGGCCCACAGTGGGAGGGAAGCAGGGCAGGGAGCCCACATCTGCCTCCACCCCATGCACAAACCTGGAAGTGCATGCAGCAGCAGGGAGCCAGCCCCCTTGCCTCCTACTGGATGAACTGCCTGTGGCTCTGTACTGTTTCTGGGCCAGGCCCTGTGGCCACATGTTCCTGCCCTGACCCTGGATTCCAGGCCCCACACCTCCCTGGCTGGGCAGTGCCCCCAGCCCTGCTTCACTCCCTCACCATGCGGTCCTCAATCTGCCCTCCCCCACCCCCATGGGCTTACCTGGAAGGAGCTGCAGCAGCTGCTCTCCATACTATCTGGCTGCCGTGTGCATGTATGGATGCACACATGCATGTGGCATCTTGTCTGATTGTCCCCCTCCTACTCCCACTTCCCTCAGCCCCTTGCAGGCTGGAACTCTGCTAGCCTGCAAGGGGAAGCCTGCAGTTTTCTGCATTTTTCTCCTTTAAAGGAGAAAATCCACATTTTTCCATGGTTAACAGAAAACCCGGATCCCTAAGAATAATGTACTATCAAGTTATCTTGGTCATTTTAACAAAATATACTGCCATTCACTACCACATTAGAAGTACGTGACTGGCAAATAAATGAACAAAACACATTTTAAAGCTGGAGGCTTTCTTTAGAAATAGTGAGTCATTGGCTAATTTGCAGTATTCAGGAATTTGAAATTGATCTCCTACAATTAGGTTGAATATAGTGTTTAGTCATGGGAAGGGAAGAAACATTTTGCCAATGATTAGTCTTATGGAAAAGTTCCCTTAGGAATTTTGTGATTCTTGTTCCTTTCCTTGTCCTCCTCCCCACTTTATTTGGACAGCCTAGTTTAAAAATGACTACCCTTCAACATGACATCCAGACATATAATAACAATGTAGTGTTAAATAAGTTATGTATTATACAGGTAACTATTCAGGTTTGAAGCCCATCATTGTTTTTCTTGGTAACAACATCCTGCTGCCAAAATATTCCACTTCCTTATGGCATGCTTGTGACCTTTTAGGTACTGCCCTTTGTTGGAAGTGGTGCACAGCAATAGTGCTGCAGCTGGAATTCGTAAGAACTTTGGAACCTCCAGAGATTCACAGGCTACCTCACCTGGTACTACATTCTTTCAGGGAATACAGCACCTGCAGTGGAAGCAATTGTTAGAAGGACCCTGGTTTGTCCCCAACGCTTCCTTTTGGGTGTATTTTGCCTGTGCAGAAGATCCACTGATCCAGACTCAGTGAAAAGACTGGCTTAATAAGCATGCCTTATACTGACTGCGCTTACATGTGACGCTGACTGTGCAGTCATTATTGCACAATCATTTAGTACTTTATATAAAGTACTAAATGACTGCACAGTATTTGGAGTTACTGCACAATTGTGCCAAGGAATGGTGCTGACTGCACAGTAGCTTGTGACTAATGCACAGTAGCATTGCATCATGCTTCCTGCTACGTGATGCTGCTACTATATGGTAGTCATGGGCTACTGTGCAGTCAGTATCTCGATTAGACATGGCAACTGTGTGCTGAAGACTGTTAGACTCTGTTTCTTGAAACTACAGGAGGGAGCAAGTTCCATAAATTATAGCTTCAGAATAATTCTGTTTGGTATCCTTAAGTGTCTTAACTGAAAGTGCTCTAGTTAGATTCTTCTTGTTCTTCACCATATTTGTATCAGAAGTGCTTATAGGCCCCAATCAAGATAGGTACCTATCCCATGCTATGCTCTAAATAGACAAGACAGACAAGAAATAGGAAGAAGAAAGTATTACCTGTACTTGACCTGTGGGGAACTAAGGGCACTGAAAAAAGTGATACTTGTTGCATGGTCAGGCCCTTGCAAGTGCTCTGCAGTCCTGCCCAGGCAGAAGTGCACAACTGCAGAGTGTTTTAGAAGTGCCTGATCATGTGACAAATTGAACCCTCATTAAATGATGGTAAGATGAAGGCCTTCCAAACAGAACACCTTCATTAACTTCTGTTTGTCCCTGTTTACGACCAGTGCTGGGCTGATGCAGCTCAGTCCCATCCCCAGTGCTGTCTGCAGGATGGGAGGGAGAGAAGGCATGGGAGGGGAGCTTCTGTCTGGGGTTTGGGCCTCCAATCCACCTGCCCTCCCACCCCCAACAAAGGCTGGGCGAACTCCAGACCAGAGCTCCCTTCTCTGCCTTCTCCCCTTCCCATCCTGCAAACAGCACTGCTGTTGGGAGGGTGGGTGCGTGGGGCTAAGGGAGAGAGGCTGTAGACATGCAGCCACTTTCTGCTTGCTCAGCTTCAAAGAGGAGCTCAATCTCTGCTCCTCTCCCCCACCCCACAGCAAATGTCTGTTGTATTGGGGGAGGCACCCTAAGACTTAGATTACAAGACTTGCCAGTGGCCAGAAAGTGTTTTGCAGAGTGAAGAACTGATCCCAGATCACCATCATACTCTGGTGATGGACAGGGCATTTGGATAGATTTATCTTTGGAAGCCAACAGCAAGAAAATCCCATTATCCTAAAACAAAAGGACAGGTCAGAGAGAGTATGTTTACATGGCAGTGGCTGAAAGCTTAGTCTTGCTACCAGAGCAGCAAGCCTTGAAAGTATAAATGCACTGACTGTACTGCTCAGCAGTAAGAATGGAAGTCTTTCCATTAGTGCCATCTTGTGGTTCTCCTAACACATTTTAAACACAATGATTTTGCTCAAAAATATTTTTATGATCTAAAAATCACTCTGGTAAAATAAAACAATGGACATGGTCCACAGAGATTCCCTAAATACTACAAACATGGGCATTTCCAGTACGGAAAAGGCCAATCATCTGTTCCTATATCTTGTACAGTGGCGATGTGTAGGGGGCACATGAAACCCCTGAGAGCACTGGTGCACCCCCTGACAGCCACCATTCCCTGGCAGGCGGGGCAGGTGTGACAGCACTGGTGCCCCCCTGAGAGTGCTGGCTGGGGGGTGGGGACACCAGAAGAAGTGATCCCTGTGGCCAATCATGCCCACCTGGAAGTGCCAGCAGTGTGCCACTGCCACTTCTGGGTTGGTGTGATTGGTTGTGGGGGACATTGCTGCCTGGTCAGTGACTGGCTGCTGGGGGGGCAAGTACCTTCCCTGACTCAGGAGGCACCAGTTGTCCATGATCTTGTATACGTGTAGAGGTCCTCCAAAATACACTTGGGTAACTGAATCGTGCTGTAGAATTCAGGGATTTCTTCTTCCCAAACTTATTTGGTGGTTGCCTTTTGTCCCGAAGAACAAGGATTGTCATCCTGTAACTTTGTAGCCTATGCAGATTATCGTTAAATTCTTTTGTCTGTCATTTTTAAATGCATAATCATCTCTGGAGTCTTACTATACTTTTTACCTCTTTTAATATCTTATTTTTCCTTTTTACCTTCTGTAAACAGTAAAGTAGTATAAAGCATATGAGTTGTAGGTCTAGGTATTCAGGGTTAAATCCTGTTTCCCCTTCATGTGGCTAAATGATACTTACATAGCTGCATAACTGCAATTTTTGGCACTTACACAGTTTGGATTCCATATAGCTTTGCTCACCTTGTACTTCCTGACTAAGTATCTTCAGTAGGTGGTAAGGCCTGTAACTTTTTAGTTATAGAAAAAAGTACAACCTGGGAAGTTTTTACTCTAGAGGAGGAAGGAAGCCCTCCTACCTTTTACTCCAATAGCTACTCCACTTGGCCAGAGAGCAAGAAATCTGGCAAGGTACACTGAACCAGTATAAAGAGGAGGGCTGGAGGAAAGTCTTGGCAACATCTAAATTATAACACTTTGCAGGGAATTGAGAGATGCAATTTCAAACCCTTTCTGTCTATGGGGACCTTAGAACCCATGTCTCCCACCTTCCAGACAAGCACCCCAGCCACTAGGTTATTGGGCTAAAAGGTGAGAGAGTCCTTCGTCCCCACTTCACAGGCTATCCTATTCTGCTCCAGAAGGAAAGAGAATCTGAATGGTGTGTAAATGCAGTGAAATACTATGTCTGCTTGTTAACTACCGAGGAATAAGCCAATCACTGTTTTAGCGTGCACGCTGTATTTCATTACATCCTCTGACTTCATTCCCATGAACACAACAGATCTGAAATTTGATCTTGGCACTTTTTAACTCTACCTTTAACAAAACAGTAAAGTTGGCTTGATGTAAATCTCAAAGAAAAGTACCTTACATTAAATTAGGCTTGTTTATTTTGATAACATACTTTGTGAACTCAACTATAAATATTTGGGTCAGATTTCCAAAAGGGTGCAAGTCACTTAGTGCCACAAGTCCCACTGAAAATTTGGTTATGTCAGTTTATCAAAGATTTCCTAGGTAAATGGTAAAATATGGACAGGAACTTGCAAGACTTATCATATAAATTGCCACTTTATTTATCGGTATTGTCTGTAGCTTTTTGTATACTGTTCATAGTGGGATAAATGTTACGATCCTAATTCAGGCATGTTGACAGGGTTTGGTTCACAAGGCATACAAATAACTTGGGTTTATTTAATTACTGGTATATTTTCTGGAAAATCTCTGCTAACTACAGATTATTTTCCCTGTTTGTTTTGCTGATTTTGCTTTTTTCTTTAAACTTTTGCAGACCTATTCCATAATCCCCTGTCCCAAGATCCTATGTACCGTCTTTATGTGATATACTTCCTTCCTTCAGTACAACTTCTTGACAGAAAAAGTAAGAAATATTTTCAGAATGCATTGACAGTTACTGATAACTTAGACAATTTAGAAAATAGGTGAATTTTCTCTCTCTCTCTGTTCTTTCTCTTCTTCTCGGTAATATAGGAAAACCTATAGTGAACTGGATCCAGTTTAGCTTGAAATATGACTTGCAGATAGAAGTTATTTGCTTGATATTAGAGCTCACACATTTGCCCTTATCAGAGAAATAAATCAGTGACTTGATCTGCTAAATTTTTGGACATGCCATGGAAGAAGTGGGTCTTGAAGACTAAATAACTAAGTTACATGACTAACGCTTAGTTGAACTGTTCTTTCAGTGTCAAAGAAGGGATTGAATATTAGGAAACAGGACTGTTAAAAAAACACTGGGTAACATGCTCATCCATGGTCCGGTCTTGGGGGCAAAGGGATCCTGAAAGCTCCCAATCCCACCAAGAGAGAATTTACCAGAGGAACTGAGGAAGACAGTTCTGAACAGCACCCTTGGAAGTACTGGCCAATGGGATGTGGCTTGAATCAAAGGGCTGAGTTGAAGGAAAGGCCAAAACAGTGTGTAGGTTATTTCTAAGCAGTGCTGCTACCAATAGAACAGCTGGACAAGCTCCCTTAGACAACTCCCTGGGATTGTCTAAATTCTACCAAGGTCCTTAAAGACCCTGCGGCAGCTCAGAATCACAAAGGTACACTGGGCCAGTATAAAGAGGAGGGCTGGAAGAGAGTCTTGGCAAAAATTATAACACTTTGGGAATTGAGAGATGCAATTTCAAACCCTTTCTTGTCTCAAGGGACCCTAGAACCGACATCTCCCACCTTCCAAACAAGCATCTCAGCCACTAGGTTATTGGGCTGAAAGGTGAGAGAGTCCTTCCTCCCCACTTCACAGGCTATCCTGTTCTGCTGCAGAAGGAAAATATTTAATGTGACGTGAGCTCCTCTTCTTTGCTTGCATTGAATCTCATCTGTTGGGGTGGAAGCTGAGAATTATTTAGAGAGAAAATTAGGTTTGATTCTAGAGCAGTGGTTCTCAATATTTTTAGACCCCTTGGAAAATGCCAGCCTTCACTTTCACTCATTATTGACTACAGAAAAATAATAGAGCAAATTTTGTGTTGCAAAGAACTCAGAAAGATTGCCATGGGTCAGAATGTTTTTAACGCTGTAGATTCCTATTTACAATCTCTGGATTTATCTTGTGAATCATGTTTGCACACTAATAGTGATATCATTATGTGGCACCCTTGAAAGAGGAATGGTGGAAATTAAGTTTAAACAATTAAAGTTTTTAAAGACTGGACATAAAGAAGAACTTCTTTACTGTCCGAGCCCCCAAGGCCTGGAACAGACTGCAAGCACCTACTCTGGACATCTGGACACTTACCTTGCTGGGATCCCTTGACCCCAGCTGACTTCCTGCCCCTGGGGCAGGGGGCTGGACTTGATGATCTTCTGAGGTCCCTTCCAGCCCTAATGTCTATGAAATCTATGAAAAACAACAGTTTAAAAAAAAAACTCTAGGACGTGCATAAAAATTAAACTCTTTAATAAAGACAGCAATAACAGGAAATGATGTGTAGGGCTTGCTGGCACTGGATTTATGACCCAGATACCTTCCAGGACCCAGATGATCTTCCAAGGTCCCTTCCAGCCCTAATGTCTATGAAATCTATGAATTCTCAGCATAACGCTGTTACTAATCAGACCTGTCCATTGTCATTACAGTCCTTGTGTTTGTAAGGCACATCACTTTTCTCTCACCTTTCAACTCTTTTTATATTTTCTATATCAACTCTTTCACACAGCAATCTGCATATTTTTCATCTTTAGAAAGAACAGTACACTTTGGGCTCCACCATAATTTACATATTAAAAAAAAGAATAGTTTTATTAATTTGTTTTTCTTCTAAAAGTACTACCCTCCTGGGAGAGAATTTTACAGAATTAGGCCTACATAGCAATTGTAATGTGAGTGCATGTGCAAACATACAGATTTGCTGGTGAACTCGAAGTCCCTTTCTTGAACATTTGCCCCTGTATTGAATATCTTTTTTTTTTTCAGTATTCACAGTAGTGCTTCTGTCTACCTGCTGAATTGAGGACCATTACAGAATGAGGGAGAATTAACTGTAGTTTAACCTGGGGACACGCTTCTGCAATTTACATATCTGAAAGTAGTTTTTTGCTAAATTCATGGTTTGCATTTTCCTATAAATGCAACAATACTACAATCAGTATTCCTGGATGAAAATACTTAGGTATTTTTCCCCCAAGTTTACCCTTTACTGTCATTCTGAGAACTATTTCTTTGATTTACAAAGTCCTTTTTACCATCTGTGGAACATTACTGCAATATACTCCTGTCTTCCTCATTTATACAAGACACTTACACTTCTGTTACCTCCAGGCATGACTACTGCAGTTCTTTTCTAATTGGTCTCCTAGACACCACTATTTAAAAACCGCAGTGAATTGAAAATATTTCTTCCAGTTTCTTATTCTGAACCTTCAGCCTATGTCTGTTAGCATACAGTTCAGATTCTTAAAGTAAAAATCCTCTGTGGATGTGTCTATACAAGATGCTGACTGTGCAGTAGCCAAATAATTCTATGCAGTAGTGCATCACAGCACCAAATGTACTAATATGCTACTGAACATTATTAGGCTACTGAACAGTAGCATCACTTACAAGGCATTCACCAGTGCAACTGCATGGTAACTCCAGTTGTTATGTATTTATTTAGTACTTGATTTATATAAGTACTATATAAATGCACAGTAACCATAGTGTCGTAGCATCTCGTGTAGACACACCCAGTTTGATTTGTAATCTCCATCCCTTTATTTCCAAATTATAAGTCATCTTTGAAGGAAAGTACAAAAAAAAAAAAGAAAGAAAACAGAACACTTTTTTATTGTATTCCTATAGCCCTCTCTGTATTGATTAAAGAAAGGGAATTGTTAGAGACCTTGACCTGAAACTCTGTTTTACTATGCTTATAACAACCTATAAGTCAGGTTTTCATTTAGTTAGATAATATGCAAATAGAATATGAGTGAAATCCTGCCTTAATAAGACCAGTTGGGCCAGGATTTCACTGTAAATCTTCAGCTGATGTAGCTGTTTCTGTACTCGAGGCAACGGAATTCTGAAATTCTACATAAGGTGGGGATGTTGTTGTTTGTTCAAGAAAGTGAATTTTCTTCTGATTGCAAGTAGGTAGCTAAAGTTAGGTTGTATTGATTGAGAAAAAGTGTAACAGTTTTTATTTCTTTCCTAACAGAAATTACACAAAAAGAAAAGGAATCTGCATTACATATTTACAACCACGAAAGATCCTGTGTTCTCCAGTCTATAGCTTTTGGAAAGAGAATAGACAAATCATTGGTGGCTAAGACAGTATCCAGCAGAAGCATTCTAGCTGCCCAAAGTTTGCAGATGCCTCCAGGTATTTATAATGACTAAACTCTGCTTTCAGGTCATTTGAATTTCAAATAGTAGTTTGCACCCATTTGCTGCTAGAGTTAATTAGATTTGATAGTGAAATAGGTATGTTTGATGAACTCAACCAAACTGCTTCATTTTGAATTAACAGTATGTAGTTACAATGAAGAGCAAATGGATCCTTTCCGTTGACAAGCAGATTGTTTCAAACAAACCCTGAAACAACTACTCAAAATCAGAAGCTATGTAAAACAGAATTGTATTATTTTTTCTAAATCTTTTTTTTTTTTTTTACTAATTTTTCTGCTCAGTAAACAGTCTTTCAAGGAAGCTGTATGCTGACAGACTGATCAAGCAGCTTAGCGATTTGGTGCCCTCTGGTGCTTGTATGAACCACAGTCTTTCTAGTATCCCAAAGAAGTTTCTGTCTTTAATATCTGTGTTCAGATGTGAAATGGCATATAATTTCTATCACATCTGAATGTGCAAAATACTGTCTGGTTTGTTTAAAATATATTGCAGATATGGACATCAGAGAAATCACTGTCAAACACTTGCTTAACATATTTAACATCTGTCATCACACATCTTACTTGTAGGAGTTTAAAATGTGGTTCTCACTTAAAAAATGACACTTTCAAAATAGCAACATGGCAAGTCATGTTTATTGGGTCTCAAGTAAGTGTAGTTCAAATATGATCCATTTAAAAATAAAGATGCTTTTTCTAACAGCAAATTAAGCTGGCTTTTTCTGGCTTGTTAATCACTTCTCATCAAAGATCCCACCAATCAGATTCCAACCTCTGTTGCTTCCATTGCCTGAACACTTGTGAACTGCGGCCCTTCAGTTATGCTCACACTGGCAAACATGCAACTGTGTTATCATCCATAGAGTTTTTTACAGGTACAAATTGTCTCTGTAGATGGAATTTAGTTAATAATTTTGCTCATGATACACAAACTGAAGTATAATCCATAACATTCATCTTTGCATCTCCGTAGTTGTGACGGGAGCAAAATTAGTTAGAAAAAGAAAAAAGCAAAACCTTGAATCATTCAAGTAAGCCAAGTAACCAGAGGTGGATCTCACCACATGCAGTAAGCAGCCCTGCTTTGAAAAAAAAGTCACATCTTTAGACTGCCACCTTCAGAGCAGGGCACTTTAGGTGCCTGTAGACTTGCCAGGAGGCTGCTTTGACATGCTAATTACAGCGCTTTGAAGGAGGCTGGATTAATTGAGTCTGCTGGAGTATGCTAATTAGTGTGCTCCAGCCAGCCTCTGCATCTTGTGCATCAGTGTTCCTGCACTTCAAAATGGCAGCAGGGATGCTTTAACTAGAGCTTGTTCAACAAGCATTAAAGTGCTGCTGCTGCCACTTTGCGCAGGGACGCTGATACAGACACACTGCAGACTTAACCTAATTTTTACCTATAACTATCCAAACATGTCTGACTAACAGACACCCAGAGAAAACTATATTCTAACATGTGGCTTAAACTACCCAGCTCAAAACATAGATAAGGACCCCTGGAACTTCCACCTTACATACTACATACATACATACATGCAACCATACATACATAGTGTCCTTTTAACCAGCTTTTCAGAAATTATTATTTCAACAGTGAATCTTCTGGCTGTTTTTCTTGCATCAAAATTAAACGTGTATAAAATGTTACATTCAGAACACTTGCCCTTTGCATGTCTTCAAGTTCAGATTGCTTTTGTATTTGTTACAAAATAGTAGCAGCGAGTTAGTTTTCCAAACTAATCAGGAGCAATACTCATTTGTAAAAATCAAATAGGTTAATGAACATACATAAAATGGGTAATATACATAATATACAAAACATATACAAACACTTTCACTTCATTGAATATTTAATTTTTCCTCTCAATTGATCAGTTTCCTGTCTTTATTTTTACAAAACTTCAGAAAGATGGGTGGCAAATCCTGTGTTCAAACTACTTACTACTTCAGATATGACTGTCATATTTCATTGATACTAGCTGTAATTTTTACTTTACTTTTTGATGTCAGCAAAAATTAAAAAAGTTTTTCCATGAAATGCTAGTATTTAAGTGGTGAAAATGCTCTACAAACATTAACTTATTCTAAACTTGTTACAGATTATGAATTTGCAAATCACGTGAATAAGTAAGTAGCTTGCTCTGACTTCTGTTTTTGCACTTCAAAAATATTTGCTCTCACTTCTATCCATACTAAAGAAAAAAGCATTATGGTTTTTAAAAGTCTGCTTTTTGTGCTAGAAGATAAACAACTGACCATTTTCAATAAGACTCCACTTGCTGCTGCTGCTGCTGTCAGTGCATTTCCATTGTATAAATGGAGTGTGCAAAATGCAGTTAATTTTGTACTATCAAATACTGGTTGATCAAAAAAACTCAAGTGTTAGACCATCATAGTAGCTTGTTTTAAAATGATTCAGGCAACTTCCTACTAATTGCCTGTTCTCAAATATGCACATTTATGAAAACATCCCTGTTGTGAGTACAGTTTCTCAGCCTATGGTTGGATTACTTTATGTTTTTAAATCATGTGCTATAGGGATGATAGTACAGAAATGTATTTCCGCAAAGGTGTACAGAGGTAGGGAAAAATCAGTTTAAAGCTCTAAAGCATTTTGCATGTCATTTGTTATGAGGCAACCTTCCAAATTACTTTAAGAGTCTGGGCTCTTTTTGACTTCATGGTGAGCAATGTCTGTGGCAAGCCAAACTTCAGATATAAAAACTATTGAAAAACATGTTTACCAATGAATTAAAATGGCCAACAGATTTCCTTCAGCAAATTATACAGCACCATCCACACAACACAGCTCTCCACAATCAGGTAAATTCATATTTTAAAGAGGGTTTAATCGTGTTTTCCATACAAAAGGATTATAAACAAGACAATTGACAATAGTCTTAATACAACAAAATACAATTTCTCTTCTACCTGTTGCAGCTATGTGCTTTGACACTAATCGTTAAGCATTAAAAAAAAATCCTACTGAAGTCATCAGTATTAGTCACATAGTTCAAATATAGTTAAAGATCAGATCTGAAGAAGGGTGCTTTGTGCCCAAAAGTTTGCCAAACTTCTCTTCCTACTATACAGTCGGTATAATAAAAGATGCTTAAACAAGCAAAGAGAAACCTTCCTTCATATTTCTTAAATTATAGTACAATAGTGTAGTTATACCTTTGAGCGAATTCTTTCTTATTCAGGTTCCCATACAGTACCCAATGCCTGGTATCTGAATGTGTATGTTAAGCCTCTGCCACACATTATACTTAAGATGCGATTAACCAGTTAATCATGTCTTGTGACCCAGCCACACATTCTAGCAATTAGTGGTGTCATAAAACAAGGAATAAGCCCCAAAGTTATTCCACAAAAAAAAAAAAAAAAAAAAAAAAAAAAAAAAATTTTATTCCACAAAAAAAAAAAAAAAAAAATTTTATTCCACAAAAAAAAAAAAAAAAAAATTTTATTCCACAAAAAAAAAAAAAAAAAAAAAAAAAAAAAAAAAAATTGCTGGGCTGCAGAGGTGGTTCTTGCCTGGAGCTGGTCTGGCCTGGCTGCAGCCCCATACCCCACTGGATGCAGACATCTTGGCAGGGTATGTGCTCCCACCTTGCCCTCCCAACACATGGCCTGTGCCCCCTCACCCCCATAGACAGATTTACATAGAGGAATCTGTGAAGAAAAGGAACTCTGCCAGCCTGCACAGGAAAACCTGCAGTGTCCTGGGTTTTCTGCGGCAAACAGAAAACCCAGATCCCTGAACATCATTCCAACACTGCTCGAAGTTCTCAAGCTTTCCTCAAGTCAGTAGTATCAGTAACTCCAACACTATTTTCACAGGCTTCTAGCAAAATCGTTAGAAAAATTGGTTGTTATTATTCAGATAATTTACATTTGTTTTGTTCTTTTTGTAGAGTTCCATTTGAGAACCCTGAAGATGCAGTTTTTGTAAGGGCAATGAAGAGATCTATAATGGAATTTTCCTGTGTAGATTGGAACAAAATACCCACCTACCAAGAAAAGCATCTTGAAAACAAACTTAAAGAACCCTGTGAGAAATTGACAGTTAAATTCAGATAACTGTTTGCTTTCTCAGGAAACATTTATATATATATATATGCTAGATAGGTATTAAAGCTTTCTTTTAAGTTAGCATTTGTAAGGCATACACTGTAACTTACACTTTATTACATTAACTTTCAGCAGAACAACTGTACCACCCTGTTACCTGGTAATTCAAAAAATGTAATGCTTAGAGTTGAGGAATAAAGGTCAAAAACACCAGTCATTGATTGGACGTAACTTTAGCATAGTGTTGTCACTAACAGAACCTGAGTGCCCTGTTGCACTTTATCCTAAAGCAGGGAACAAACCTTTAAGATAGCTTGCCAGCACCAAGAATGAATATATTAATCATTAGTACTCTTTCTTAAGAGAATTGGAGACCTCTTTAAATTAATGAGATCTCTTTTACCTCTTTAATTTTCTCCCCTCTGCAAATAGGATTAAAGCCTCCTGTTGCTTATCTGTTTCTTGCATGAAGTCACTGCAATTAGTCTTTGTGTGTCAGCCCTGATAGAGCTTTCCTTGGCTGGTCTCACAGTAGGCTGCTATGATGGGTCTCATTCCAGTGTGCCACATGCTCTTAAACTACCTTGGGTCTATGTCAATGACTCCCAAATGGTGCAGCAGAAGTGTGCCATAAGAAAATGGGCTGGCCCAGGACCCTGCCAGGCTGGCCCTGCACACAGATCTCCACAGACTGGATCCAGCTCATGGACCAGTGAGGGAAATGTGTAATCTATTTTACTCCAGAAAAAGAGTGTTTCCCAGGTATCACAAGTCTAGGAAACACTGGTTTAGGTGTTGTTTCTGGCAAGAGCACTTCAGCTTTGTGCTCCAAGTCAGCTTGCTTCCTTTTGTCTTAGCTAATCCTGCAGTTAAAAAGAGGGCCTCCTTCCCTAACCCAAACAGGAATGAACACATGCCCATTCTCCAACCAAGAGTTCCTCTTTGTCTCTGAGTCTTGACTGTTTAAGCAATTGGTATGAAAACCTTGGTTTCTTTGTACTGCATTTGGAAAGTGTACGCTCCCCAAATTCCAGCCACATGCTGAATGTTGGAGCATATGAGTTCTCCTAGGTTTCAGCTGATCTGCTGGTCCAACTTGCTGCCACTTAAATATGTGCCCATTAAAATGGTAAAAAATTATTCTTGTCCATTGTTTGATGAACATGATTTCAACCAAAAGTTGCACGTGGTATCCTGAAGTTTTAACTTGTTCCCAGCTCCTGGTGGAGCCTACCTTGCCCTTTGAATGGTAGCAGTTTCAAGTGAAAGATATTTGGAACTGGCAGCATGAGAAGGTAGATCACATTTGGATGCTTCAGGTCAAGTTCTTAATTAAGACTGTACTTAAGAATGCAGGGCAACAAGCTCCTTCCAAGAGCCCCAACCTTTCTATCCCATTGTTCAGAAATCCTTTTAGGCAATGCTGCTCATAGTAGTCAAGGGGGCAGAAACATTCACCATTAGGAGTCTCTCATGGTCGAGGATGATTGTCTTCTAAGGGTCTGAAGATGGCTGACATAGCCAACCTAGATTCTATTGCAGCTTGGGCATGTTTCCTTGCATGGTAGATGGCTCTGGATTCCTAATTCAGTCTGTGATATGCTGTTTCTGCAGCACCTGCTTTTCCATCTCCTGTTGTCATTGTGAGGTGTCAAAGTACTGAGACCCCTGCAGTAAACTTTTTCCCCCATTTGGGGTGGTCCTCAGTGATAGCCTCTGAGTTGATGTTGCATTTTTTTCAAGTTGGTTTGAAGGCATCCTTGAAGTGCTTTCTCTGCCCTCCCCTTGAGTATGCCTTGACTGAACTGGGAGAATAAAATTTGTTTTGGAAGTCAAGATGATGTGGCCAGCCCAGCAAAGCTGATGTTGAATGATCATCACCTTGATGTTCATGGCACTTGCTTGCAAGAAGACCCTAATATTGGTACATTTGTCTTCCCCCTGAATTTGAAGGATCTTCTAAAAACAGTGTTGATGGTATTTCTCCAGCAACTTGAGTTGTCTCCTGTATGCTGTCTACATCTCAGCTGCATACAGTAAGATAGGGATCATGACAGCTTGATAAACTGTAAGTTTGGTTTTGAATCTGATGTCATGATCTTCAAACGTGTGTTTCCTTAGGCATCCAAAGGCTACACTCAAACATGTGATGTGATGTTGGATTTCTTTGTTGATGCCAGCCTTCTGTAAGAGATGGCTTCCGAGGTATGGGAAATACTCAACATTCTTCAGAATCTCACTATAACCTGAATTACTGGAGCCAGGTTGATCAAGAACACCGACCCCCGCTGGCTTCTTCAGGGCAGGGGCCCCCAAAAATGGGTGGGCCGGCCCTGTCAAGATGAGTGCTGGAGTGATGATGCAGCCTTGCTTAACTCCTGTCTTAACCTCAAAGGGATCTGTGACAGATCTGTTAGTGAGAACCAGCACTTGCTCTCACACCATCATAGAGCAGGCAAAGAATTGTGATGAATTTCAGTGGGTATCTGTACCTCACAAGGATCTGCCACAGTGCTTCTCAGTTGACACTAGACTTGAGCCAGTCAGAGGTGTTAATCAGTCCATCTTGTAAAAAAAAAACTGCACAGGAGTCTTTGGGAAATGAAAAGACAAGGATTTGTCAGCTCCCATATACAGGGGAGGAAAAGAATATGGGCAAATCTGGGAACAATGATAGAATCCATAGAGATCAACCCATTTTAAAACCCGCTTACAGTTGCTTAGAATTATGGCAAACTTCAGACAATTTGGGCTGCAATCTTCTGTGACTCGCATCTCATTTGGATTGAAAATTTCTTGGAAAATTTCAGATAACAATTCAGCTGTAAGAGTATAATGGACAGTGTACATACCAAATGTTTTTACAGTTGTTGAGTTGAGAAATTCTGGTATTTCCTTTTAAATTTCGAGTTTGCTCCAAATCAGGGGGAATCAAGTATTTATGTAAACAAGCCTGTGAAATCCACCCAAAATTTGGTCAAAATGATAAAACTCAAAAAATGAACAAACTAGTCAGCCAAGGAAAAGAGGGGGCTAGAAGTATATTTAAGTATATTATTGCATACATTTTTTTTCCACTGAAACTTTTCCTGATTCAGTAGATGAATAGTTACTTAATTTCATTTTTCTCGTCTCATTCCAGACTTTATTTACCATGTCACCCAAACTTTGTTCAGTATGAAATCATTCCATTTTCTTCTGTGTATTTTTATGACATTTTATTAGGGTATCTAATGATTATGCACAGCTATTAACTAATTTATCTTCAGAAATGACACTGAGATTAGGTGGTTTTATCCCAATTTTACAGATGAAGAAGAGAGAGAGATTAAGGACCAAACTGTCAAAAACCTACTAGTTCTGGATGCTCAGCTTGAGGTTTCTAGGACCCAATTTTCCAAACTTGACATTTTTGTTAACAGTTTAAACTTCTGAAATACAGCTCCAATCAGCTTCAGTTGCAGCTCTGAGCACTCACCACTTCTTCAGATCAAATACCAGGTATTTCACTTCAGGCATGTAAAAAATGAGGGGGGACTCTTAGTAGTGTGAACGTTTTGATGTAAATGACATGCCTAGCATCACTAAGGGACAGTGACAGAGATGGGAACAGAATCTAATTTTCCCTGAAGCCATTCAACTGTCAATCCTTTCTTTTTCCCTTAATTCCCATTACATTCACTATCCAGCTTCCCATTTCTGCAGTAACAAGCACAACAGTTATAAACAGTCTCCCAATTCATCCTTACAGCAGGTCCATCCTATGTGCTGAACCACTGAGGCATGGGGCCTGTGGAAAAAAAGACCATGCAACTAACAGACTCAAACTGCCTGTGCATTTTGGCTTCCTTATGTATATGTTATGCATATATGCATAAGGGAGCCAAATTGCACAGATAATTTGAGAATCCAGAAGTAAGGGTGAGTGCCTATTGAGAGCTAAACACAGTACACTATAACCTTATAAATCCGGCATCCTTGGGCCCTAGCACCTGCCAGAAATTTGAAAATTCTGGATTTTTGAAACAAGGAAAGCGCGTAGCCTTAGGACAGTTTTCTTTTACACTATACATGTGACTGAGTATTGTTTGAAACAATAGCTGTAGGCTGACGAACAAAAACAATGGCAGTTGGAGAAGCACTGGACTTCCGAAGAAATTTCTGGATTATTGGGAAGCTATTTTTTAAAGGCAATAATGTAGTGTACTGTGTTTTTCAAAAGTTTGGGATTTTTGAGAATTCTGGAATTTTGAAAGCCAGATTTATAAGGTTAGACCACATAGTTAAACTAAAAACTGTAGGAACTGCTGTTTTATCTGGCTTTAAGGCCAGAGCTTGAATCAGACTCTTCAGTGAAAATGAAGTATTCATGGTATCTGTCTGTATACAAATAAGTATTCATTGCAAAATATAAAGGTCATCTCAAGTTTCTTTGATCATAGATTAATTTACATTAACAGGAAAATTAAGGACCCTAGAATCAACTACCATCAGGGCCACAGGATCACTCCAGCATACCTATACTATATTATGTGGTAACCCTGATAGAACTTGAATCCGTTTTGTACAGATGTAGATTACACTGGCATCAGAAGCAAGCAGACAGCTCCTGCAGGGTACATGCTGCACTATGTGCTCTTACAGCACCTCACCTATAGGTGGCAGGGAAGCCAGTGACAGCTTATTTGAAGTGAGCAACTACCTTAGCACAGAAGTGGATGTGATGCCTATATTGGTGTAACTTACAATAGCATAGTTGAACCCCCGATTTTTCCTGGTAAGTTATATCAGTGTACGTCTGTCTGTCACGCGTCTGCTCCTTTTTAAAACAAAACAACCACAGAGATTTGAAGACAGGTTGTGCAGTGTGTCTGAGCTCTTGGTTTATTAAATACATTTAAACATCCATTCAAATAACTTTAGACTAGCATATGCAGGTAAGTCAGTCAAATTCTTCTTGGTCTAGCACGCTACCAAAAGCGCAAAAAACAGCAGCTTAGTCTACATGGGAATTCAGAAGCAAGACCTGCTACACTGTCTCCTGCAGGTGGAGCTGAGAGCCAAACAGAACAGCTGGGGGAACCAGAGATGAGCCATCAGTTTTCATAGAAAGCAGACTGGAGGAACAATAGTCTGATGGCGTAGGTCAGGTCTTATCTATGCTTTCCACTTCCGTGCAGGCTTGACAGTATGTCTGTTGATCTTGTATTGTGCAGCTGCATGTCTTCATGGTCAAGCTGAAACCACATGGAGGAAGGTATTGTTGTTTAGGACACTGGTAACTTACCAAACAGATTTAATTCTGCTTCTACTGGCCTGGCAAAGCTCATGCAATGTGAAATCACTTCTGCTTCCAGATCCCAAAGTTAAGTATAACATCAGCTATGGACATTCTTCCAGTGGTCAAGCTGCCACTAGCTCAGGCTGAAGAATGTAAGTCCTCCTAGAGCCATAGAAAAGCACATAGCGGATGCTCATGCTGCAAAATATTTCCACTCCTAGAACTTCCAGTATATTTAGCAGTAATACTTATAAATACTCTGAGTAACACTGTTTCTCTTTGCACACGATTTTCAGAAGCCCATCTTTAGCTAAAAGTACTAACTAAAGCCCAGCCTGGTTGAAATCAGTACCACACTGTCTTCAGTGGAACAAGACTTCTCCGTCTCATATGATACCATGCACCTGTCAATGCTTACTAAACAATTCATAAATAAAATCTAGCATAATAGAAATTACTTTTCCAAACAGGAAAAAGGTGTAAACCATCCCCATCCAATCATTTGAAAGTGTTAACTATTTAAAGCACATCCACATCTTGTCTGAGAAAAAAAATCATTTATTTGGAAGATACACTCACAGTCAGTTTGTGACATCTGGAACAACAGTATCATTTAATGAAACTCTCACAACACAGACAAATATTGCTGTGTATCTACTGGAAACTAACTCATTACAGTGAAGTAGTGAAGTCTTCAAAATCCAATTGAAGGGTCTCAAAAACGTAATGTTACAAAGCTGTCTTTATATGAAGTTGCAGAAATTAGATGCAATTTAACTGCCAACTTCCCATGCAGCTTCCTAAGACTCTCAGCTGCATTTCTGTTGCACTTTCAGGAAAATCTTTATATTACTACAAAATAGGACTTTTACATTTTGAAAGTAAGAATCAGCCAAATTACTTGGATTTCCCACTTCACTAGTTGGTGGTACATTTACCTCAGATATTCAGAGATTGATTATACTTATGGTAGGTATAAACACAGATGGATAAATGTCACTATTGTTTTGACCAGATGATAAATGACTTGTTCTGACCATCTATGATGGAGTCTCCAGTATCACATGGCAGGCATACTGCCCAATTTCTCAACTCTGGGTACACATCTGTCTTGCACAGGCAGTCTTGCATATGTGGTTCTGTGAGGGCTACAGACAAGTCCATGACTTTTGAGGTGCAAGGCGTAACCACTCCTCACCCACATCTCTCACTCTTCGGGGTCTTGACTTTTTTCAATACAAGTATCAGGCAGGCCAGGCTCACTTTCAGACACACTGTCAGGTGGAGGGGGTAATGTTGCAAGATCTTTGTTAAACCCACTTTCCTCTGTTCTGTCAGCTGCATGATTTGGGTCATCTTTGGTAGATGGGTCAGGGTCTGACTGCTGCTCTTCACTCACTGAACTAGTATCCACTCCTTCTGCCTCATCTAATAAAAACAGGAGAGAACAGCTCATACTCATCTCACAAATCCCATCAACGGACTCCACAACACATGCACAAGCAGATGCTGGTACTAAGGGTGAATATGGCAGTACAACTTCATTTCAATTAAAAAGGGCTCTTTTCTAAAAATAATGACTTAACCCCACTTCATTGACAGGGATGTCAGACTCCACAGTTCTGCCTTGGGTGATGCAAAGTTATACTGGAACCAATCTTAGATCTCTCATTCAGACAAAGCTATCCATTAACTTCCCTTTACATTTAGAGTTTTTCCTTTATTGCGAGGGCAGGTTTATAATCCAACTATTTTTGATCCGATTAGGGCATTAACTAATCGTGTCCTATCATCACAACGCTCATTTCAAACTTAATCTAATCCAGTACTTTCTGCACATTTCAAGGTAGTGTTTCTAGGAAGGAACGACTGAAAAATGTATGAACACAAAAAATGTCTGAGACTTACAAAGAATTCACGAGGAAGACACAAGAAGTTCTCTGTTAAGAGTGCTAAATGTTGATTGGAGTAAATTATTCTGAACTTCAACTGTTTGACTGGGCTAGGAGGAGCCACATACAGGCATACCTCGGAGATGTTGCGGCTTCGGTTCCAGACCATCGCAATAAAGCGAATATCGCAATAAAGCAAGTCACACGAATTTTTTGGTTTCCCAGTGCATATAAAAGTTATGTTTACACTATACTGTAGTCTATTAAGTGTGCAATAGCATTATGTCTAAAAAAACAATTTACATACCTTACTTAAAAAATACTTTATTGCTAAAAAATGCTAACCATCATCTGAGCCTTCAGCGAGTCGTAATCTTTTTGCTGGTGGAGGGTCTTGCCTCAATTTGTAAAAAATGCAATATCTGCGAAGCGCAATAAAACAAGGTATGCCTGTATTATACTTTTGAGACTGAAGGTTCTGTGGTAAAGGTAAGTACATTTGGTTTCTCCAAATCAAGTTGTAGGTGACTCCAGAAAGCGCATTTGGGGTTCTTAAATGCTGAGAGAGAATCACAGATGGAGTCTATAACAAGCTCTTAATAAATATTAAATGTAGGATTTTAGAAGCTAACTGAAGTGGGGACTACTCCCAAGAGTAAGGCAAGCATGATAGTATAAAGAGGGGAGGCTAAGGGACAGGAAATTAGAGAACGTTTTCTCATTTGTGATTAACATTTTCAACAAGGAGTAGAAAAGGGTCATTAGTATTTTTGCTCTAGCATTTGGGTTGCTGGAGGAAAAAAAAAAAAAAAAATCACTAATGAACCTGCAGAACTATACCTACACTGTACCAGAAAATTAACTCCTGTATGATTACCCTCTTGAACAATGGTTTAGTGTCATTATTCAACTTGTCATCTGGCCTTCCATTTGCAAAGCAACATGAAGCTATACAGCTTTAGTTTTCTTGATGAGTCTTTTAAGATTTTGGAACCATGAAGTTGGAACTCCTTATGCTCTGGTGTTCTCAAAAAATAAATTTGCATATCTACTTTCAAAAAGATATATACACTATTAAACACTTAAAAGGGACACTGGATTCCCAAATACAAAGTTGAGCTTTCTAACAAATGCTGGTCTGGTTTTTTTGCTACAACCAAGACATCACAGATGTTCACTTTATACATGTATTCAGATTTTATGCCTGCTTCCTGTAGCTGTGTTGCTGGTGCAGAATTAGTTTCAGTTGGTGAACTGTAGATCCTTACCTTTCTTTTGCCTTTTTTCTTGTTTCCTTTTTTCTTTGGCAGCTTCTAGTTCTTGCTTCTCATGGATTTCCTTCAGTGTTTTGCAGACTTTTTTGTGGGTAAACCAGTGTATTTTTTGGCAGTTCTGGTCACAATACATTACCTGAAAGTTATTAGAGGCAACTTAATGTAATAAAGGCAGCATAGCATTTTAGTTTGAGGGAGATAAAGTAAACTATTAACCAAACACTGGAAGTAATTTATCATGTGTACTTTTGTACTACTTTTAGGTTACATTTTTAAAGCTAGTAGAGGCATACAACATGACTGTCCCATGCATTACCTCAAAGGAAATTCTTTGAATGATAATTAATTGAGAAATGACATAACCCCCCAAACACACTAGGTACTCCTGCTCCTTGGATTCAAGGCACCTGCACCATAAGACAGTCTCTCATACATCTTACATGTGAACCTGCAGGGCACTCCTCAAAGAGCTGCAGTTCAAGGCAAGTAAACTCACTTTCCAGACTGTCAGCAATCGGTGACATTAGGTTTTTTTTTTAAATAAGAGCTATACACTCTTACCATTTTGCAAACTGAACATCGCTTGTCAGCACCCTTTTCTCCACAAGTGGTACAGAATTCTGCATCCACAAGCCCCACTTGACCAGTAATAGCTTGTGTAAGTACAGAGAAAGCAGTAGGATCAGAGCCCTGAGGGATAGAAAAGGGATGGTTAACAGAAAAATAAGCCTGCAAAGATATGATGCATTTACAACAGTAAAAAGTTTCAGGAATTTTTCTATTTGGGTGGAGAAGGGAAAGAAAACAAAAAACAAAGATGAAAGGTTCCTAGTGGCGATTTGCATTCTTACTGGAGAAGTAACTGGTGTAGTAAATGCTAATCACCAACTCAGCTGCAATCTGACCCAGTGCTACTAACATGTATTACATAACATTCATTACATTACATGCTACTAACATTCATTACATGCATGCAATATGTAGTAAATTAGCATTGTCTAGTTCAGCAGGGGCCAACCTTTTTGGCAGGTATACCACAAATTACCCATACAGCCTCCAAGTGCCACTCCCATCCCCTCCCCTCCCCTCCTGGCCTCTGTGCTTTCTTTTTCTTGCCTGATGTGCTGCTGTCTTCTCCTTCCTTGCCACTGTGTTGCCTGTCCCCAGTCTGCCATGTACCACATTCAAAAGCTGCCCATGCCACTTGTGACAACAGGTTGGCCACCCCTAGTCTAGTTCTTTGTTTTTAGAGAAAAGAGCTTTAGAAATAAGTACAGTGGTTGTATAGAATCTGTTTGGAAACAATGACAACTGTTTTTGTATCTATAGGTGCTACAGTTAACACTGATAATTTTTATGTCCACTTTCATTTGAGGTAACTTAAAGAAACACATTCCATGTGCACCATAGTCAACACCTAACAAGGCACTCTTTTGTTTAGTTTACAGATGTGCCTGTATATGCTTTGACATTAGTGAGTACATGGAATGCTTTATTGCTGTCATCTCTTTGTCATACTTCAAATATCCCTCTAATGTATTTTTAGGTGAAATAACTATTTTTCTGAAATATTCTTTTGATACAGTGTTGGCAACTTAAAAATAGCATGCAGCAAGGTTTTGTAGACAAATGTCTGTGCTAGCACACAGAAAAAGGTTTCATTTGGCACTGATACACTGGTTGTGTTCAATGGATTCAAATACTACAGAAATATTTAAAAAACTTGACATTTTTGAAATAGTAAGTATTATTTGCAGAAATTGTTCTCCCTGATGTATAAACAGTTACCATTGGTACATAATACTTTGGTACATATACAAGTTAAGAATCTGTTCTTAAAACCACAGTAACAGATTCATAGGTACGCATGTTCATAGGTTCTGTGGATAACACACAAGTTGCTCCAGCTCAAAGCAAAACCTCAAACTATTAAATCATCTGAGAATATGTAAGACAGTACTTACTATGAAGAGGTTGCTTTTTTTTGCTTATGCTGAATTTGTGTAATTGTGCCTGCCTAAGGCCAAATACTTGTGGTAAAATATAATTGATGGCAGACTCCAATGTAGACTTCACTACGGGCTCTATTGATTCACTCAGAATCAAACCCTGTGCAACGAATCAGATACTTTAGGTGGAGGGGGAGGAGAAAAAAGAGACTGTAAGGAGAAGGGAAAAAACCACAACAATGAAGCAGGAAGACAAATGCTTAGCGTAAGCAAGCCTTATTTATGTTCATACATTGTATGGAAATGGAAATCGTTGTACACAATGTTGTTCCGATTTTAAACAAATAGTAGGGATTGCTACTGCTGGAATTAAATTGCAAGGCATTCTAATTTATCAGCTAATTTTTATGATGGAGGCTCTTTTTAATTTACTAAGTATATTCCAGGTATATAAGAAAATTATAAATCATTCCTTTTACAATACATGTGACTTTCAAAGACAGGACATGATATGCATTCCCCTCCAAAACTTTCTTGCTTAAGGTTTACTGTGAGCCAGTTAGGGAGGCATAGATTCATAGATGCTAGGGTTGGAAGGGACCTCAACAGATCATTGGGTCCAACCCCCTGCCTAGGCAGGAAAGAATGCTGGGGTCACATGACCCCAGCCAGGTGCCTATCCAGCCTTCTCTTAAAGACCCCCAAGGTAGGGGACAGCACCACCTCCCTTGGAAGCCCGTTCTAAATTTTGGCCACCCTTAGTGACCAGAAGTTTTTCCTGATATCTAGCTTAAATCTGCCAGTTTAATTAATTAATCTCTGTCAGTCTGTGACCATGTTCCTTGTTACGCCAAGAGGCGCCCTGGTGAAGAGCATCTCTGATCCCTTGCTGTCCCCCCCCCAATACATTTATTAGGTACCAAGGTGGCCAAATCCAGCTCTCTCTTGTGGAGGCTGAAGAGGTCCAGGTCCCTCAGTCTCTCCTCATAGGGCTTGTCCTGTAAGCCCCTGACCACACAAGTTGCTGTCCTCTGGACCCTTGAGTCTATCAACGTCCTTCTTAAAGTATGGTGCCCAAAACAGGATGCAGTACTCCAACTGTAGTCTGACCAATGTCGCATAGAGGGGAAGTATCACCTCCTTGGTTCTACTCCTGCATCTAAGTGTTTTGTGACCCTGTCATAAAATGAAACCAGATTGGTCAGGCATGATCCACCCGCTACAAATACATGCTGGTTTCCCTGTTGCGTTATTTTTCCTGCTGAACTCCCACAAATATGACCTTCATAATCTTTTCAAAGACCTTTCCAAGGATGGAGGTGAGACTGACTGGCCTATAATTACTCGGATCCTCCTTCTTGAAAATAGGGACCCACATGGGGCCTTTTCCAGTCCTCCGGGACCCGACCTGAGCACCACGAGTGCTCAACCACTTCCCTAGACTGTACAACCTTTGAGAGCTGCCTCAAGAATTCTAAGTCTAGCTTTTCCTCTTGGTGTGCTGGTCTATATAGCAGACCTCCACCACCGAGTCCATTCCCCCCCCCCGACCTCCATGTATCCTAGCCCACAATGCCTCAACTTTCTCCTCCTCTGATCCCATTTTGACTAGGGTAGATGTATAATGCTCCTTTACATAGAGAGCAACCCCACTCCCTTCCCTCCCTACTCCATCCCTTCTGTACAACCTGTAGCCCTCAATGTGTAATCAATTGTCAAATACATAACTGGCAAAGTTAGTTTTCCCATCTGCAATTTTGGTGTTTCATACTAGATATCCATTACATCAGCCATCTACCACTAGCGACTGCAGTGGCCTTCCTCTGAAAAAGGCTGCTTCAACAAAGTACCTTTTCCCTTCTGAAATTACGCATGACCAGCTCTTCTTGGAGCACTGGCAAAAAATACTATAATAAAACTACCCATCATTTTCCTTTCCTCCTAAAAAAGGGAGTCAAGCCCAACAATAAATGATTTCTTAAACAAGGCTTGCAATGACAAACAGTGAGATATGCTTAAACAGAGAGAAATATAAAGCACTTTCATCATAACCTTCTGCTTTTATTTTCTATAGTGATGCATCAGGAAATGACAACCAGAGGAAAATCAGTTATGAGGTGTCAGAACTTTAGGGAACTTTTCTCCACCAAACAAAGTAGAAATGAATGCTAGAAATGCCTTGGGATATATAAAGCCTTTACATAGTAGCCTTTACATATACATATTACATATCTGCAGGAGTCAAGGGACAGAAAGGCACCTAAAATTAAACTGATTGTAGGTGTTTACATCATGGGTTAGTCAGGCTAACCCATGTAAGCAACAGAACTCAAACTGGATGACAGACTTACAATCTCAACAGGAGCAATACTTCTCACAAGTTGCTGGAGTAGGGTAGCTTCACAATAAGGAAACTTGCGAATGAACTCTCTAATGAGCTTCTCTTGATAGACGGGGAAACCATCTTGATCTCTACCTTTCAATAGACTAAAATATTCAAAATCAAAGTCAAACAAAAATTCACTACCATATAAATGTTAAGTTTTCATTAACATGTACAAGCCCATGCCCTGCTCTCCTCATGCACGTGAATCTTAAGGTCAAACCACTTTGATTTAGGTGCTTAAGATAGAGTTCTTGGTTTGGAAGTTCTGGATGGGGTTTTAAAAAAATGCTCAACTGCTTTAGAACTACTGCTTCTCAGGTGCTTGGGTGTTTCTGAAAATCTTTTATGACTACTGGAGAGTGGAGGGGTCATTCACAGATGCCCTTAACACAGATGGAAATATGGCTCATCTCATACTCTCACCACTTCTACAACCTGAAATCTTATGATACTCTGTAATGTGCGGGACAATTGCAATCTGTATCTCTCCCTCCAGATTGCTGTCCTTTTGAGATGTATAGGGCTGCTAACAGCACTCTTAGTACTCAAGAACTGCAGGATGCTTCTTGTGCACAAACACTGGACAATATTAAACTGCCTGGTATTTGGATAATCTTTTGTTTTAGGTGAAAATTATATCAATAAAAAAAAAACCACACTGCTTCACTCAGTCAAGCTTGATACAGTAATATGATCTTCCTTTGTATTCATACAAAGTTGGCTCACATGTACTACTTCAGATTTCACTCCTAAATGCTGTGGAAATGCATACCTTTTGATTAATCCATCCAGTTGATCCTCTCGCTCTTTTAGGAAAATAATGCATTTCTGGAAGATGCAACTGATATAGTGCATTTTCATTGCAAGTACTTCATTCATATCTCTCTGTTTCATGCATTTCTCACAAATCAGATCCAACACTCTGTAAGATTTCTGCAGTGCTTCAACCTCTGCTAATAAAGGGTTCTCTTTTACCAGCAACACAATCTATCAGAAAAAATGAACAAGAAGCTTAGCTAGTGAGGAACTTTCTGTTTTTTAAACATGCAAGGTAATACAGAATGGTTAGATGCCTGTTAATTTACTTTAATGGGGCTACTGAGGTTCCTCCATTGCCTCCCCACGTTGAGTTCTCTTTTTTAGTAGATGGCATCAGCAAAGTGAGGAATATACTGTAATCCACACCTCCTACACTGGAGACCTTCAAAACTAAGCAACTAGCGCAAACCGTGTTAGAGGGTAAAGATGGATCAAAACTTTAAAATCACTTGCGTCGCAACTATTATCATGACTGCTCTGCACTGGCCCAATGTCCCCATTCTCAACTCCATGAAAGGGGAATTGGCCATGCGTGGTACAGGTTTAAGGAGCTAACCTAAGTTAAGCTTAGAGTGCAGCAGAATATTAAAACACTGGAGTGGATCATTTTCAGACAGGTGCGTAACTTATTAATTTAAGTGTATGCATAGCACTACTTGTCTGTGCACAATTGTTTTATGTGCAAATATTTGCATGAGCCCTAGCTATCACAGAATTACATTAAATCTAAGTGGAGATGAAAATGACAGCATTTATCTGTTATCTGCTAGTAAGATAACATTATGTGGCAATTATTGCCAAATGTTTACTTTTAATATGTCAAGCTGTGGAACCCTGTTTCTTTAAATTAAGCTCACTTATTTCTCAGCACTACACACCCAGTTATTAGACACCAATTATTCTTAGTGTATATACTAGAAAGTAAAAACCTAAGTCTACTGTATGAATATTCAAAATGGCTGCAGCAGACATTACCACCAGGAAGCAACAATTAAAGAAAAGAAAAGTAACAAGGTAACTGGTGAGACAAACATGTTAACTGAATGGTCAATGACTTTTTGTTAAGACAGGAAATTGCCTTAAGTTTCCACTTTAAGCCAGGCTTAAAAAACATGAAAGAAGTGTAAAGCAGCTTTAGTTAGTCTCATTCTTTTAAAAAAGATATGAAGAGACAATACTGTATTTCAATTTCTGTACCATACTAAGTCTCAGGCTATCTTGCATAAGAATGAAGAATCAGCCAGAGCTCTGCTACGCCACAGTTTTAGATGGATTTCTCAGATTCAGTGGCCTGAATTATGGAAACAATTCTGCCACCCCTTTTCATGTTGAATAGGCCCCTACTTAGCAGGTCCCATTAAGATGAAGTATCTAAGGGGTAAGAGGCTTTTTAACATTCTAATCTGGTCCCATGCCAATAAGCAAACAAAACGTACACATTACTGCACCTTAACAGGATGCAAGTTTGTAGTAGTAATAATTTTATGCAGCGGTCCAGCTAACTTTACTGGCAGTTTGGGCTCTTTATCTAAACCTTGCAGTTTGGTGTAGTAATCCAGCCTTTCGCGTGGAAAGAAGTTGTTGATGACAGTCACACAGTCATGCTGACCTAAAAAACAAACAAGAAAAAACTGTCATTAAGACTGAAAATGTAAGTTAGTAACTGAAACACTTTCAGAGGTACACTAACTCAATTATCAGCTTTTGGCAGTAAATGATTATATGCAAGTTGGCAGAAGGCTTCTCCCACCACTCCATAAAAAGGGGCTGTGAAGTGACACATCAGGGTTTGCCCTCATCAAAACAAGTAGAACAGTCATTTACACAGGTAACTCTTCCGTGCTGCGTTGCTGTCCTGTGCCAGTAAGTGGCCAGCGATAACCTCACAGAAGAAATCAGAACCCAACTAGATATTTGCAAAAAAAATTATTTGCAAGCTTTCGGGCACACACACCCTTCCTCAGGCATACGAGAATGCAAAGGTTGTAAAATTTCTCCTAGGTGGAAATGAAAATCCATATTTCACAGGACAGCTAGAGGTATTGTAAAATCTCCTGGTTGGAATAGTTCATTTTGTACAAATTTGGCTCAGATAAAAGTTAGAACAGTCTTTTTACCTCGAAGTTGTCTGGTGACAAGCAGGATGTAGAATTACGTTTTCTTCTGGTTATGATGTTTCATATTTTACTGGAGAGTAGGGAAATGGAATGCTCTCCAGGACAAGAAATTTATTTTGTGTTGAGGTGCCTCCAAGCTCTGTGAGAATGCACATTTAACAACAGGCAGGAGCAAGGTGGCAGCTTTCAGGTTTCCAGATGGTTTCCAGGTGGTAGATTTTGCTTCTTTCTTGTAAAATTATAAAATTTTCATTTAAAAATGGCGAAATTCATTTTAGCTTCATGGTAAAAAGACTGTTCTAACTTTTATCTGAATCATGTTTGCACAAAATGAACTATTTCAACCAGGAGATTTTACAACACCTCCACCTAGAAGAAATTTTACAATCTTTGCCGTCTCCTATGCCTGAGGAAGGGTGAGTGCCCCCAAAAGCCTGCAAATAAAGACTTTTTTTTTGCAAATATCTAGTTGATCCAATAAAAGATATCACACCTCTGCTGCAAGTTCTGATTCCTTTTGCTTGTAGGCCAATACAGCTACAACCTACATTCCTAATAACCTTACAGATGCACACAGCCATATCCTGGGAAAAATCATTAGCACATTTTATTTGCATACTTCAAAAAAACTTGACGCAGGATGGTGGATTTGTATACATGTAGGATGCCAGAGCAAAAGGCTTTCTCCTGGGAGAAATGTGATGTCTATTTAAAGTCGAGAGACCAATTTCTTTATGAGAATTTTTAATAATTTATTAAAGCTTAAGGTCTGAGGGTAGCCTGTATTCCTTTCAGTTATCCTCCCACAATATCTTACAAGTAAACAGCATCTGCCATACTGGTCTCAAGAAATTTAAGAGGTGCACTCTCCAGTTTGTCCTTTCAAAGATCATTGACGCTTGCTGTTTTCTGTAAGTTTCAAGCTTGGAACAGAGAGTGCTGCATTACCTTTAAGTGGGGGAAAATGAAGAGTGGAAAATGCATAAGAAAGGGAAATAAAAAGGTATAATTAGATAGGCTGAAAAGAAATAATATAGCTGCATTCTTTCATGCAATGTGCCAACGAATTTACTTACAAAATTCAGACCCATATTCTCTGAACAGATTGGCTATCCTAGCACCGACCATATTAGACAGGAAGGCAGAACTAATCAAAATTTAGTATTTACATCTCCCCTCTGATTTAGGAGAGAATTTGCTAAGCTTAAACTCCAAATGGCATGAAAAATGAGACTGAAAAAAGGTTCACTTTCCCACACAGAAAAATGAATGTTTACTGAACAGGGAATAGCTCAGGACAGGAATGGATTCCAGAGTGGTAGCTCAGGTCAGAAAGCCCTGATTTTTATAAGCTTGAAGTTATCCACTGGATTTTGGTGGCCTGACGGTTTATGTGTCTTCAAATAACATTGGGAACCAATTTAACTCCTCTGAACACCACCCCGCACCCTGCAGTCCAATACCAGATTTGAAAGCATCCAATTCCAAATTATACTTGCAGGAGTACACTTTTTCACCAACTAGAGGGGATAACAATATTAACTGCTTGAACTCCAGCTAACCAACAGAAATGATTATTTCTTAAAAGGAACAGACTGATCTGTGGTCATGCAGCCAAATGCACCTTCCTGCCACTTTTCAATCTAATCACAAAAAGTAGGTCAGACCATTTTCTATAGGATTTAAGAGGGTCTGAGGAGAGTATGGGAGTGGGTGAGGGTTTGTCAGATCCACAATACAATAGAAGAGTTCAGGAAGGATTGGTTGAGGACAAGAAAAGGGACCTAGTTTGGGCTCTTGGTAACTGAAAGTTTTCTGGACAGTTCAGAAAAGAACTCTTCCAATTCAGAAAGAAAGAATGCTCTTATGGAAAAGAGAATTTACTTTATGGATGATAGGTAACAGGTACCAAACTGGGAAAGAAGGGTGTTGTTTCTGCCTTTTAACACTTACATGGTACCTTTCACACAAAAATTCAGAAGCTTTTGCAAAGGGTAAGGCTCCTCCTTTTACCGAAGAAAAGAAACATTGGCCAGTTTTGCCCAATGTCAAAGAGCTACAAATGGCACTTGGATCTTCAGTAGCCTGTTCTGGTATATAGCTAAATGTTTAGTATTTAATCCTGATCAACCCATCTTAGAGGGCTGCTCTAAGCTTAACTGCCCTTTTACAAATGGGGAAATGGAAGCAGAGAGCTTAAGTGGTTTTCCAAAAGCCATACAGCATGTTAGTGTCAAAGCCCTGTAACTGTTTGGTTTGATTCCCAGACCTGGATTTATTCTTTCAGAATGACGGCTGCCTTTGCATACACTCCTTTGAATATGAAGTACATAGCTTTACTTCTAACATCTAAATAGTACCCAATTTGTTTCAGTGGGTGACAACTGACAAGCCAATATAACTTTCATACTTCAAGCACAGGAGCAATATATCTGCATTTCTCAGTAGGATGGGCCTTCATAAATGTTCTAATATCGGTAGCAACACAATAAAATCTGGCTCTCTGCTGGCTAGGTATAAGAAGAGATCAAAAATCAATTAAAGCAGAATATTAACTTTAAGATAAAAAATATGAAGTAAAGGTCCACAAAAAACAAAGAGGGGTCCCTTTAGCCATCAGATTGTATCACCTCATAATCCCATTGGCACCCAGGAGATTAAAAATGTGTTTCAATTTACCCACAAAGGCAGCCATCTGTGCTGCTGTTCTTCCCACAGAGTTGACAAAATCAGTCTCTGCTCCAGCCTCTAACATCATCCAGGTGATTTCTTTGTTGCCTGAATTTGGGGAAGAAAGGGGTTGCAAGACACCCCAAGAAACAGACCTTTTATTTAACTTACAGATGCACATTTTTTGAGACAAACAAGTAGATAACTACAAATCATATTCTAAGCCCTAATAACAGTGGGGTCCTTGGTTTAACAGTAGACTAAGAAGCCAGCACCACACATTTTGTTTATTAGCAAAGCCCAAGAGAATATAAAATTCATTCTCTCAGGGCCAAATGTTGCCTTCAGTTACGCACATTCACCTCCCACTCGGGTCCACGGGAGTAGCATGCTTTTAACTATGCAGGATCTGGCCCCAATGGGTAGCAGTACAGAAACAAGTTCTGTTAACCTAGTTTGACAGAACTTCTACAGCATCTGTTCTATGAGAAAAACAAATTCAGCGCTATTATAGAGCAGAAGTGTAGAAGAGAGAACAGACTGTTCCTTTCTTCCCAGTGGGAATAGGACATTCAGACTGGGCAAAATACCAAAAAAGATAAAGGTATATTTGATGGCAAGATGAGATCTCTTAATTGGTGCCCTTCAGAGACTAATAAAAACACTTGTAACCAATCTTGTTAGTTCTGTTTTCAAAACATACTCTTCTTTTACTTCCTTTTTCTGGGAGTGTACTGCTTAGAGAGAGGTGAATACAAAAGAGGAAAACAGAATAGATGTTTCTGTCCAATTGCTTCTAATTAAAACAACAATACTGTTCCAGATATGCCCACATTCTTTTTGTACTCACAGATGACATGTTTTAAAAAAACATGAGCATTCAAGATAGAGGTAATGAGGAAAGATTCTCAGTTGGCATATGTCTATTGATTTTAATATAGTTATGTTAACTTGTGCCACCTGAGAATGTATCCCTGTCTGTTTTGTTGGTGGGATATTGCTTGACATAACAAGAGGAAGAAAATCCCCAAACTTTTCCACCAGAGCCTTAGGATGAAGATAATGCAATGAAATGGGTAAGGATCTGAGTGCATTAAACATCTAGGATAGGGGTGGGCAAAATGGTAGATCCAGCCAGTGGCTAGACTCCATTTCCCAGCAGCCCCTGCGCACATAGCTGCGGCTGATTACCATGGAGATCCCAGCAGTGGTAGCACCATAACAGTGCAGGGCTGGGATTTCCATGGAGACCAGCCCCAGTAAGTACACCCAGGGAGTATGGCTGGGTGGGGAGCTGCTCTGGGGCCAGGGCGAGGATCTTGCAGTATGGTCTGGAGCCAGGGCAAAGCTGCAATCCACTGTCTGCAACCCCTGCCTGGGGCATGCAGGCAGCAGATCACAGTTCTGCCCTAGCTCCGCACCGTACTGTCACCGCCACAAGATCCCAGCCCCGGAGCAGCAACTCACCCAGCTGCGCACCCTGCCAGTGCTACTTGGACTAGTCTCCATGGAAAACCTGGCCCTGTGCCATCATGGTGTTGCCGCAGCTGGGGTCTCCATAGAAGCCAGCCACAGCCCTACGGACAGGGGCTACTGGAAAATGGGCCCACTGTGGGCCCAATCCAGCCTGGACTTTGCCCACCCTTGATCCAGGACTATATATGTATTTTGTATGAATAGAATGAATAAAATGTAAATTTTAAACTCTATACTGTATTGTCAAATCTTATGCCAATTTCTCTAGGGATTATACTTTCAGAAAGACCTATATGACATAGAAAAGAAGAGTTTTTAAATGGTCTAAACTTCCCTAATCTACATCTCCTCCCTCTATCCCAGATAAGCATAGCCCATTTCCTAATTGCAAAGGAATTATTGTTCATTTTATCAGGGAACAGAAAACAGTACCATGTGACTAGTCACAAACCACCAACACAGCTCAAAGTTCAAAATTAGGTATATGCAGGGAACTGGTAACAATCAATTCTTAGGGAAAAAAGAATAGAGATGCAGAAAACCTTTTTTCCAAAAGTTTAAGTTCAAGGGGGCCACAACTTGCTTAGGGACATTATACAAGGAGAAAAGGTTAAACTTGACAAATCTCAAATATTAGACCAGGAGGATTTTTTTTTAAATACAGATGTGGAATAAGACAAAAATCCATTCACTCTTTAATAAGAGGGTGCCTTTTCTAGGAACTCAAACACTGTTCACACTACTGCACAGGAATGGGATTTTAAGGCTCTCAGACTCAATACTGCAGCAATCTTCTGTACGTGCCCAAGTATCTAAATATAATCAACTTTTACACAGTCAGAAGCACCTTTCTTATATACTCTGTTGCCCTACCAGTTCCACAGCTCCAAATACATTAATGTTACTTGGATACAGGCCTGCTAGCTAACTATCGCTGTGAACTTCATATGCACTTACCCGACAGTCCAGCAAACATCAGGGCAGTATATCCATGCTCATGTTCATTGCAGTTAACGTCAGCTCCATGCCGCAAGAGCAACCTACACATGTCAACTTTTCCTTTGTATGCTGCATGCATTAGAGGAGTCATGCCGTGCTAATAAAGGAAGAGATATACATAGACACATAAATTACCTCTATTGTTCTTTGTACCACTCACGATTTTCACCAGGCAATTAAATATCTAGGTAGAAGGCCCTATTAGATTAACAAGAGCAAACCAAATCATAAATGCAAGTCTAGATGAATAGAAACATTTTGTAAATTCAGGTATATTTATTTGCTCCACCACTTTTTTTAATATTCTGTATAATGGCATTCAAAAACAATTCAATGTTCAAAACCAAAATAACCGTGTGCATTTCCTGAAGGTTTCCTGTATATAAACCTGAAGACAGGTTACGTTCCAAAGTGAAGGTTATGTTCCCTAAATCATATAGAATCAAAGAAATTAAGGGCTGGAAGGGACCTCAAAAGATAATCGAGTCCCCTGCTCTGGGCAGGAATATTGCTGGAGGAAGGATGTGCTAGAGCAGGGGTTGTCAACCGGGGGTACTTTGAAAGGTCCCAGGGGTATGCGAGTGTAGGTAGGGATGGAGTGCCGCCACCTCCCAGGAGCAGGACTGGGGAGGGGCAAGAGCAGGGTCGTACAGACACTGCATTGCCGTTTCTCACCACACCCCCGCTCCGTGTCTGGCTGCTTGCCACCCAGCTCCCCCACGTTCTGCATCTGGCCACTCGCCACCCCGCCTTCTGCATCCCACATCTGGCTGTGCGCCACTCCCTCCTCCCCCCTTGCTCTGTCTGGCAACTCGCCTCTAGGGGTACACTTATTAAAGAGGGGACTGCTGGGGGTACACTTATTAAAAAAAGGTTGAAAACCCATGCTAGATGAAGGACAAGATCGCGGGAACAATATGAGGGAACAATACGAGCAGCAGCAACAAATTTGTGCACTGAAAAGACAGAGGCAGATGGGGTTTAAACTAAGAGGAGCTGAATTATTCTCTGACTATACTGTAAATGATGTTTAAAAAATGTTATCTTGGCATATGGAACAGACAGACCTAACGACTGTATGAAAGTCAGCTATCCCCTCTCTCCTTTTGAAAAGGCTGAAGTGTATATTTGTCCATGCCCTAGTCTCTTTTTATAGTACAGCCAGGGCCTAAAGATTAATATATTCCAAAAAAATTGGAAAGGAATGGTTTATACACAGCTATCTAATTTGTTATGGTTTTTCTGGTGTCTACATTTATTAAAATATTAATAAGAACTACAGGGGCTTATATAATTTTATATTCGTCCCTTAGGAAATATACCCAATTAAAATAACTGTACAGTCTTTTTTTTTTGGTAGTAGAACAAAGACAGTTTCAATACACGTATCATAGAGGATAAGGAATATTTTCAGCATGTGTAACTACTAGGGGTGCACCAATACAGATGTTTTGGGCTGATACCGATAGCTGATTAACGAGCCATATCAGCCAATACCGATCGAATTGCCGATATGCAGCCCAGCAGCTTGGAGAGCAGCTTCTGGTTGGTAAGTCTGTGGGAGAAAGTGGTGGGGGGGCAAATCAAGGCTCCCACAGTGAGGGAGGGAGTGGGACTGAGGAAGGCGCTGCACAGCTGGGGTTTAGTGAGGAATCCTTTCAACCAGGACAGGTGAGTCTCCAAAAGAAGCCACTCCTCCAGTCCCATTACAGGCCAGGCCAGAGGATGAGGAAATAAAAAGAACATACACGTGACCCTCCAAACAGGCCTGCTTGGACAGGAAGGAGGGGGGTCCCCATCCCCATTCCTGTGAT